CTTTACGTTTGTTTGACTCATCAGGCTTCGATATGCTACCCAGTGAGGGTACACTCCCATGAGCACTACATGCAGAAGGAGAAAGCGGGGGAGATCGACGTCGACACGGCGGAGCCCCGGGACTTCTTCTGCCGAAAGTTCTACGACGTCCGCCTCAAGAGGTAACCATAGCTGAATTGCAAGCATGCTTGCCGCACGTGATTCCTCAAATAATGCTGGGAGGGCGAGGGGGGGGTGATACCAGGCGTCATCTGTGGGGTGTGGTACGTCGTGGGCAGGGCGCTTGTGACGATACAGGGAAAAAAGTTGTGTGAAGTCGAGAGGAGGGAATGGTCAATTTGGTGAGGTAGCATGCAAGTTTCCTCATTTTCCCGTAGGTGACCGTGAGTGAGAAACCTTCTACAGGATCGTGTGCGAAATCCACGCCTAAACGAGAGAATGAAACTGCTGTCTATTCACCTGTCGTACGTATCGGGGCCCGTAGATCATTGTCCGCTTTTCGACCCCCCCCCCCCCAAGCTTCACCGTGCGGTGTGCACCTTTTCGATGGCTTGCTGCGAAAAGGAATCGTTCTCATACACTGGATTGGTTTACACCGGCGACGTATTGGTGTTGGCATGCCCTGTGATTGGTCCCCTTGCGGAAACCGGGTTTGATGGGTGGGCAGACGTCGGCTTGTGCACACGCCGCTGTCTGGTAGACCTTCAGCACGGGGCGAAACACGCCCGACCGTCGTTGCCGTTGATTGTGTCATGGTGGTGGTCGTGTTCACAACAATACATACCGTGCCGGTCGTTGCTCAGCACCTTACAGCCTCCGTACTGGCCCGCCTGATTCTTGCCCCTTCGTGTTGCATGGCGGCGGCGTTTCACATGTATTTTTGCGGGATGCCCGCAAACCTGACGGGCCCTAGCCCTGTTTGTTGTTGTCCGCGGTGACAGGTTTATGCCGGAGGCAGAGCAGAGGACTGCGCAGAGGCTGCTGAGGGGGAGACGGTGGAGCGAGCGCTCGTCCAAGCCAGGTTAGTGGCTTGGACTGCCTGGCGTCAAGACTACTGGTAGACGCTAGTACAGACGAATAACCGATCAGCCGGGGCGTCAAGAAAGAAGGAGTGGATGGGGAGTGGTTGATGGGCATGCCGACAATGTGGCCGAAGTAAGGAAAAGGGTTGCCCCAAGGATGGTGGGCGTGTCCTACACAGAAGAGGCGGCGCATCTTCGCAGAAGAGGTCGATCGTAGGAGATCGGGCCGGGGCGTCAAGAAGGAAGAAGCGCATGCGCATGCCGGCAAATGGGTCGAAGTACGAAACGGGTGTTTTGTGGGCGTGTCTTACACACGCAGAAGAGGCGGGTTGGGTGATCTTAACAGTTGAGGCGGGGACGGACGGTGTTTCTTCCTTCTCGGAAGGGGTGTGCGCCCCCTGACGTCATGTGAAATCATGTTCACTCGGGCAGTCAGGCAAGTAACGAAGGGGCATCCCGGCTCCATCTCCCGCCCCCCCGCTCCCTTTTTGCCTCCAGACCAGAGTGACAGCAGTAGCAGCGGCAGCGGCAGCGGCGGTGGCAGCGAGAGCGACGATGACGACGACGATGATACTGGTGCAGAGGAAAACGGCGGCGGTAGCGGCGATGATGACGACGGCGACCACGCTGAAGGCGGCGGCGGCGGCGGCGGCGGCGGCGGCGGCAGCGGCGGTAGCGGTGCTGACGCTCGACAACGGCGGCATCCCAAACGGTATGTGGGAACGCCCCCCGCCCTCTCCTTCCTCCGATCCGATTTGTTTGCGCTGCCGAACCGTTGCACTTCCGGTCCACCGTGGAATAGTGCGGTAAATGTGGTAGATGTGGTAGATGTGGTAGATGTGGTAGATGGGAAGATCTACCGAACAAGCTATGCCGTGGCTTGGCGTTGCCATCAATGCGGGCTGTAGCACCCTTCTCTTCCATTCTTCAGAGGGTAGCGGTGCTGACGCTCGACGCTTCTTCAGGGGGTGGCGGGCGGGGCCGGGAGGAGTGTACGTCTTCGAGCGACCTACCGTCGTACCCCAAACACTCGCTCCCTCCCCGCACTCGTTGCTCAGCACCAGGCCACATAATCGAGAAGTAGATCACTGCTGTCAGTGTCGGAAAATTCGCCGGTCAATTCCATGCCCACACGGGTTGTGAACCGTTCCTGTAGAGCGTTGCTCCCCCCTGGCAGTAGTTTTTCATGTCAAGTAGCAGAAACGACCCGCAATGGAAGTTGGGATACAGCCGCGATCATGGGCGATGTTGGAGGCGGCGACGGGATATTCTGCGTAGGCGGTGGGATGTTGCGGAACTCACGCCGACCACTGTACCAGGCACATATTTTTCAAACTACTGCGAGATTAACTTATGCTCCAAAGGTGCCATTATTATGCACTCACTCCCGCCCGTATTCCACTTCAAAGCGTCTCCCAGAAAAGTTCCAAACGAGCCGACTCGAACAAGCAGCGCGCTTTACGACAAACCAAAAAACACAAGTCCTTGGGATGCCCACGCTTTGAGCGGCCAACAATCACGATAACGCGTTTACGATGCAGGCGTCGCCCGTCGTCGTCCGCTGGCGCCGGTGGCGGCGGCGGCAAGCGCCGGGACGGCAAGGGCAAGCGCCGCCCGCAGGACAAGTTCAGCGTGGCGATGGAGAGCCTCCACGTCACGGCCGTGCCCAAGTCCCTCCCCTGCCGCAACGACGAGAGGAACCAGCTGCTGAGCTTCCTCACGAGCAACATTAAGGCCGGTGAGCGAGCAGCAGCGCAGTCGCCGCTGTGTGGTGCTTCTTCGCAAAACAGGCTCGCACGCTCCGTCGTCCCTGGCGATTTGAGGGCTTGAATATGCCCGCCGGCTGTCGCGCGTGCTCTATGGAGCCGTGTCTAGCTAGCCTTTGGCACCCCCCAGTGCCCGGGGGAGACATGCACTTTGTGGGAGAGGGGGCGCGCGCCTGGGTCTGCTTGCTGCAATCGATGAAATATACCACGTGTTGACTTGTCGCGCGTAACGGCGAGAATGGGCCCCGTGTTCTACTTTCTTTGCTCTGTTAGAATCTACTGCTGTTGAATTGTTGCTCTTGCCCTAGCATCATCATTTCATTTTGTTTTAGTATTATTCTCAAGTATTATGAGACGGTTGTCTCCAGGTTCGCGTGTGAGCAAGTTCCCGTTTGGGATGTGTGGTGTGGATACACACCGGTTCAACCTCTGGTGAAGAGGCTGATGAGTACGGATAGTTGTGTTGTGAGTCAAGGGGGGGAGCGACCTTGTGTTGAAGCAAGGTTCAGCATCCACCCGACACTGACTCTATCTGTGGCAACACCCCGAAGGTAGATCTCCGACAGGTCATCTGACGTCACAATCTACTACAGTCTGAGGTGGCATTCACAGTATACTTATTTCCTACCTGGTGTTCTCTCGCGTACTCGCGGTAGGGAGAAAGACAATGATCGGCAATTTAATCAGTTCATCGGGGCAGACGCCTACAGCCATTTTGTGCCGAATTGGGATTCGTTTGTAAACCCGAGTTTACTAATAAACACACACGTTTTTCGTGTGGCGAGGGCCATGTTGGTGGCGGCGGCGGCACGATCCCGTTGGCGTCGAGTGGGGAAGCAAGGGGTGTGTTGGAACGACCAATATGCCTCGTGCTCACGATATGTGTACGTGCTTGACTTGCAAGTATCGATCACCACCATGGAAGGGATCAACTCGAACCATACGCCCCCCCGTGTGAACTGGAAATGGAGTGGGGAAGCAAGGGGTGTATTGGAACGACCGATATGCCTCGTGCCCACGATATGTGTACGTGCTTGACTTGCAAGTACCGATCACCACCATGGACGGGATCAACTCGAACCATACGCCCCCCGTGTGAACTGGAAATTTTACCTTCAAGTGCTTAGAGTTTACTCTCAACACTACTGTGATTCATCCACGTAATGCACAAACGCGGTGGTTTCGTTTCCATCACCCCCCCCCCTTCCAGAAGCTGACGATGCTCAAACTTTGGTGTTGGTGCACAAGGTGAGGGTCGAGAGGTTGACACAGCTGAGCATGAACACAGACGCCGCTTACCCCAATGTTCTTGTGGACCTTTTCGGTGATGATGGGGCCAGGTGGTCTGGGAAACGCGCTGTTCGTGGCCGGCATGCCGGGGACCGGGAAAACGGCGACGGCGCACGAGGTACGTTTTGGTCGGGGGGGGGCGACGGCGGCGGCGCTTTTGGACACGCGGCTTGTTGCTGCAGAGGGGACATGCGCCGTTGCCGCTGCCGTCCCCGATCTTGTGTTGTCGATGTTGGTGCGGGTGTTGGGTGTTTTCCTACCACGGCGGTGTTGGCTTCTTGGCCGGAAAGCCGTTCTGATCTCTGCCTGCCGCCGTCGGACCCAGTACTAATTAAGCCACCCGGTCTGGGAGGCGTTCTTCGTGGTACGATCCGTGTATCCGTGACGTGTTTTTTCCGGCGGAAGGGTGACCGCCGCTGTCTACAGCGTTTGTTGGTGCTGCGCGTAGTGTGCCCGCACTCGGTGGCGTTAGTCAATCGTTTCCGCACATGACTCGTCGGGGTGTTTCTGGGTAGGACTTGGGTGGCGGGGGCACCGCAGATTCGCTCTTCGACAGCACGGCCCCAGCGACAGATCCGGCGGTCCCAACCGGCATGTCACCGATCCGGTATGACCTCTTCCGCAATCCCGTATGTATCCGGTACGGTTGGCCGGATGACCGAACTCAATCCATGGCCCGCGTTGCCACTCCCGTGCTCTCGACAACGCCGGCGAGGAGCTGCAGTGCAGCATGAAACCAATGACTGCTGTCCCCTTTCCCCGCCCCATGCGTCCGTTCCCGTCGGAAGGTGGTGAGAATCCTGAAGGGACAGCAAGCAAGAGGCCTGCTGCCGCGCTTCAAGCTGGTCGAGCTTAACGGGATGCGACTTACAGAGCCCCACCAGGTTACACATAGTGTCTTGTTCCGCGAACTGAGAGTGAGGGGGGGGTTCAGACTTGTGAATGGGTTTCTAGAGATTCGGGCGTTGTCCTCGTTGTGGTTAGCGAAAAAACCCGGGGATGAATGAAGTGCGCATCGCTTTTCGAACATTCACACCGATCAGCCACGTCACAACACTCGTCAACAGGGTTCTGCTGTGGACACTACGGTAGACAGCAAAGACGTCGTCGTCCTCTTTCAAACTTTTTCCCAAGCTGTCCGTGTTGTCCTCGATATTGACTACTTTTCGGCGGCTTTGGTTCTGAGTTGGTGCCTTTTTTTTTTTTGTTTCTCCGCGTCCTCTCTGCTCCATCCTTTCGAGGACGCATGTTCGAGATTCTACCGCTGAGGCACACAAAATATAAGATTACGCCGCCCCCTCTCTCCCTGATTGGTCAGGCGTACCCCCAGCTGTGGATGGCCCTCTCCGGAGAGATGCTGTCGCCGAAGCGAGCGCTGTACAAGCTGGAGAAGTACTTCTCGCGGGGCGACCCCTCGAGGGAGTTCGTGGTCCTACTGGTAGACGAGCTGGACTACATGGTCAGAAATTTTGCGGCGGTGGGGAGCGGTGTAGCAGAAGCAGTGGGAGTATTGATAGGCTGGCTAGATTGGGCAAAAACATTTTTTTGCCACCATTGGCCAATATGGAAGGAGCGGTCGATCCTGTGGGAACGAAAATCCTCCGTCCTCTCGGTGATGGGTGGTCTAACCGCGAAGGCATGCAAAACATGAGTACACCCCCCCCCCCCCGGTCAATGGCGAATGGTCTAACCGCTAACTGCATCCAAAGCATGAGTACACCCCCAAACCCCTTACCCCCCGGCCGCGGCGCAGACCACCCGTAAGCAGACGGTGCTTTACAACCTGTTCGAGTGGCCCAGCAGGCGAAACGCGCGGCTGGTGGTGGTCGGCATCGCCAACACCATAGACCTGCCGGAGAGGTGCCTCCCACGTGTCAGCAGCCGGGTCACCTCGAGGCTCACGTTCGGACCCTACACGAAATTGCAGGTGGGTTACCGTGCTGCTCTTTGCGGGTTGGGGGATCCGTGGAATCAATGCGGAACCGGAATGGAATCAACTGGGCGGGGGGGGGGTCCGTGGGATCAATGCAGAACCGGAATGATATCATCTGGAATATGAATTTATTCTCGACTTAACCGTTGTAAGGGGATTGATTGACCTGTGTTGCTTTGTTTGGCATCCAAAAAAGGCCCTTGATATGCCCTTCCCCATAATCTCCAGTTTCGAATCGGAGTGCCACTGTTCCCTCACACCCTTACCAAAAAACCCAAGCCCGGGCTGGGGGCGCACCATCGACCTTTAGGTAAACACCGCACCTGAGGCAACCCCGCCCCAACACGTGGATCAGCCCTCGCATTGGCCATTGACTTGGTCGAGAGAGCCGAATTGCGCTGGTTGGAACGGCAGACGTTTCGGATATAGAAGGCTCCTCCTCTAACATGTTCGCCGATATGTTTGGCTTAGCAGTTGCTCGTGATGCTCGTGATCATGGACAAATTAAAGTCATCCCCTCTCCTCGTGGGTGAAAAAACTGCATTCTACGAGTGTTTGAGAGGCGGGTGCTACGGTTCTTGATCCACGGTGGAGGCGACAGAACCGCAGAAGCTTTGTATCCGAGCCGCCCACTTGCTCGAACCGGCATCCGAAACAGCTCGCCGAGATCTTGCAAGCGCGATTGGTCGAGGCGAACGCCATCGGGGGCAAGGCGAGCCCCGTCGAGGGTAAGGCGAATACCTCCGTCGAGGGCAAGGCGTTCGACAACGGCGCGATCAACATGGCCGCGGCGAAGGTGGCGTCGTCTTCGGGAGACATGAGGATGTGCCTCAAGTACTGCCGCAGGGCTATCGAGGTACCAAGTTTAACCTTCCTTCGGTGTTGCTCGTCGCTGTCCCTGCTGCCGGGTGTCGTTGTACGTCGAGTTACCTCAAACTTCCTTCCCTCCTTTGGTTTTGCTCGCGTTGCTGCCGTTGTACGTGTTTCCGTTGTACAGCACCAGGTTTCGTAGTTGTCGTTGTCGTTGTTGCTGTTTGGTGTTTATATCGCTGTCGATGTTTTGTGTATTGAGGTTGATGTTGACCGTGTTGTTGGTTTATAGTTTTTGAGTCTTGTTTTTTGCCAGCGTAGTGCTGCCGATGTTGGCAAATTTGTTTTGCTCGCTTCGAGGATCACTTGTTCGCGTTGGCTGGCACAGAGAACGCATGATTTAGGTGACCGCCTTTTGAAACTAGCGTCTCGACGTGGCCGTGGTGTATAAGTGGACCGTGATGTTGTTGCATATAGCCATGTACCACTCCTATTTTTTTCCGTTCTCTTTCAAGGGCTCCCTTTTTGAGCCCCACCCGCGAGAACGGGCTGGTTTTGGGCGACAAGCTCGACTGACATAAAAGTGAAAACAAAGAAGCCGAAGAGTTCACGTATCCAAAACCTTGGTAGTTGCCCCGGCCTTGTAACCGTGGGCAGTCAAAAGCCAATTGCCCGCGGGTTGGTAGACCAGCAGCACATCGTTGTGTGTTCAGGGGTGACAGGTTGCGGTGACTACTGAGAGATGACGCTTTTTATGGCGGCGATACCTTCCCTACGGCTATGTGTAGTAGAGAACATCCGTGCGAGACACGGCAACAAAGGCCCTAGCGTTACGGGTATGTCTGCTAAAGATTGAACCTAGCGACGCCCCCCGTCTCCTGGGCACCATTGCTCGATGGTCACACTGCGAATGCAGGCATCATGTACGCCCCCCCCCCCCCCCCATAGTTGGGGAGTGTGAGTTGTACAGGAAGGAAAAAAAAGATCTCCAGGAAGAAATGAGACAGAGAGGGTGTGACATGGACAAGTTTGGTAAATTAGACAACAGCGAAAAAACGATCGCGATAATTGGGGATAGATGGTGGGCACAAGAGGCCCTAGAGGACGGGGATAAGATGTGCAAGAAATTTTTATGGAGTTTGTGGCAGAAACGTAAAGAGCTCCCAAATGTTGGTGGTGTCTTTAGTAGGTGTAGGAACGGTGCTCCGTCTCGAAAGGGACGCGTGGTCAATGGTCAAATGATTACGGCAAGCAGCAAATGAGTACGCCCCCCCCCGGGCGTGCGCGAACGCTAAATAAACCCCAGGTGTGCAAGGCGAGGGTGGAATCCGCCAAAGAGGACGGCAATGGGGACAAGGTAAGGCAGTGCTGCTAAATAGAGCCATTCATGGCCGAATGATGCGTCTTCCCGTTGCTTGCCGAACCTGTTGGTTTCAGCCAATAGGAGGACAGGTGCCGGAGCTGTTCCGAAAGGTGGTTCACTCTTTGTTTTTTTTCCTTGCCGCGCTTTGTTGTGTTTTTTCTCGTACAGCGATTTTGTTTATATCAGTTTTTTTTTTCCCCTTGGGTTGACTCAGCGGTTGTCTACCCATGACGCTCTGCTGGGCAACACCCGAGGACCACGGGGCCCCTTCGCCAATCACTGACATCGACAACGGGGTGTGGTTAGTGGTGGCGTCGACTGCGCTTATCCAATGAAATTTCGACTGCGCTTATCCAATGAAATTTCGACTGCGCTTAACCAATGAAATTTCGACTGCGCTTAACCAATGAAATTTCGATTGCGCTTAACCAATGAAATTTCGCCAGCCTCGGTGCGGCTCAAAACGCTTCTTCTGTCGTCACAAAGTTCGTGTGTTGCGTCTTTGTGTCGTGTTACTCTCCACAATCCAACCCGGCTCGTCGTCACGAAACGAACGCACCGCAGGTGTCTTGGGAGGTCTCTGTGAAGGACGTTCACGTTGCGGTTCGGGAGATCAACGAGCAGGCTCACCTGGTGGCCGTGAGGGACTCGGCGCCCCAGGAGAGGCTGCTGCTCGTGGCCATCACCAACGAGGTTCACCTCGGGGGAAAGGTGGGTTCACCTCGGGGGAACAGTAGGTTCACCTCGGGATAACCTAGGGATAAAATTTTAACCTCGGGGGAACGGTAGGTTCACCTCGGGATACGTAGGTGCAGAGTCGTTTTTGCGTTGATTAATTCGTCAAGGCTTGGAATCGCTGGTGTGACAAGGCGGTGTTTACGTTCTTTTGTTTAGCTTGGTGTCATCACTTCCTGCATTAGCCTTTTCTCTCGCTCGCTCGCTCGCTATTGTTGTCTCCCTCGCTCTATCACGCTCACCAACTCTCAGGGTGCGACGAGCATAGACTACCATCGACGGCCCTTTGAAGGACCAGGCCGGCGCGGCGGCGTCTTCCAACAGGCTCGCCTGCCCGAGTCTCTTTATCTCTACAATAGTGTCTGCGCTCGTAGCAGGGCTGGTGACCGCAACGAATGAAGCTTAAGCTTCACCTCGACTGAAACTCTAGTAGACGTAGCGCGCAGCAGTCGGTGTGCAAGTGCAGATGACGGCAAGAAGATTGTCGTGTTCGCCCCATCGTTTCCCTCGGGAAGGACTGTGGTGGGGAGCAACGAAACTTTTAACACACACCAGCATTGATAGATATCCTTCTTTTGATCCTGAGCACCATAAACGACCGCAGCGTGATTCGCTGGCTTTGTCCGATCGTCTTTCCGGGCCTTGAAGCCTGTTCTTGCTCAGAAAAAATCTTCGTCGTTTCATCGCCGCCGCGACCCTTAAGTCCCCCCCCTCGCCTTTTAACCTCGATCCCCTCTCTTGCTGCCTGTCCTGTGTGTGCTTTGGTAGGGCGTGGTGGATATGGACGACGTTCGGACGCGGATGGAAGGGATCTGCAGGGCGCACCCGAACGGGCCGAGGATGCCCAACGTGACCACTATCTTGGAGATGATATCAAGGTAGTAGATACCGTGGTAGGATCTTCGGCGCCTCGCCCGTCCCGTACCGGTTTTGAAGCAATACTGTAACCGTTCCTCCCTTGCTACCGTACACGCTTTCGACAAGAAGGAAACAAAAGACAGAAAGAAAGCGCAGGCACGCGGGGAGCTTCTGTGGGAAACTAACCCACCGACCGGTGGGCAAATGTATTCACCTACGACACCAAGTGTATTCACCTACGACACCAAATCGACGTTCTGTCGAGGAACTCGAAAGTCGAGGATACGAAAGAGCACCCAACGCAATCGTGCATGCAGCAGCGATTGATTCTTCATGCTGTGCTATGCATTCATAGGGGTAGACTTGCGTCCCGCGTGCAACCTTTCCACATGCCGCACGAAATAAGTACTGCACAAGAGAAGTACACCAGCAGTCTAAGCAGGTTTTTCTAACTAAGCAAATATACTGGGTATTGTCTAGAATCGATTAGGTTGGGGTTGGGGTTAGGCTTAGGCTTAGGGTCTGAATGCCCCCTCCCTGGCCTTTTTTTCGTGATAGCCTTACTTTCTTTGCCTAGGCTGCAGTCCAAGTATACCAAACACACACTCTTGTGCATTCGCGTGCTCGTCCGAAGACCGGCTTGCTCTAATGGAGGGGGAAAGTGATCCGACCCCATCCGGCGCGGCCGGCATGCAAGCTGAGGACGGGTGCCACGCATCAACCGTAACTGTGCAATAGTGCGGGCAATACCACACACCCCGCCCCCCCTTCTCCCTGTCGCCGGCCAACGCCCGCTGATGTTTTGAGTACCGAGAAGCCGCACGAGAGCGCGGAGGCGGGCTGGGTGGAGTCTACGGTACGCTGGCGCAAGATACCACCCCCCCCCCCCCGGAACAATTTTCTCTAATCTGCGGCACGCCTCAACAACGCCCAAACTGGGGTCCTTGGAACTGTCTCGTCCAGAGGTTCCCAAAATGTATATAATTTGGACATTGCCATCCTCTTCATCGTGGAACAATTTTGCTTACTATATCGGTCCCAGGGGGTATGGTGGTATCTTGTGCGGCTTACGGTAACCGTGCACAACCACCCCCCGCTCCTCCTTCGCTGGTTGTGTTGACCGATGGACAGATCATAAAATCTGAAAAAGAATTTTGCACCCCAATAACAGTCTCGAAAAACTCCTCTGAAGTCTCGCCCCGCTACACGGGATACACATACTCGTCACGTTTTTTTTTCTTTTAAATCAGGCTGGCAGCGGCTCAGGTGCTCGAGCTGGTTCTGTCGCGACGGACTCCCCTGCCAGATGTGGAGCTCAACATGACCGTCCGGGATGTGGTGCAAATGTTGAGGGACGATGAAGAATTTTCCCGGAAAGTTCTTCCGGACGCCCTCGTCAGCGAGTACCCGATGACTTCCTCGCTGCCGGGTTAAACGAAAAAAGTCGACCGTGTTTTTTTTTTGGCGTTTTTGTGGGAGTGTACGCGAGCTGTGCGGTTTTTGTGTAGAGAGTTGTGCCGCAATGTAGTGCAGAAGGCGAACGCTTGAGAGGGAGAGACATGGCGGTCGCGAATTTTTGTGCACATGTCTCTGGTCAGGCTCACGTTTTTCCCTTTGCGTTTCGTGTTCAGATCGGCCAATGTAGGGGGCGGCAAGGGGGAGCGGGCGTTCATATCATCGACGGCGTGTTGGCTTCTTGATTTGAGGGGGGAAACAGATTGGGAGCTTCACGCCTTCAAGAGAACACTCTCACAAGTACGATGATGGGTTCTCTTCACATGCACAGAGTTTCACCCGCCCCTCCCACGCGTGGTACCACGTGTGTCGCTGTTCACTTCCTTTCTGTGCTGCATGCACGTTGTGTGCATTAAAACAAGACTGGTAGAATTACGCTGTTCATCGCACTAACTAGGGCGAAGCATCTCCCCCCCCGCCCCCCCATTGGGCTGGGGGGGCATAAGGTCATGGAAGTCGAGGATAATGGTAATATCCGCCAGACAGAGTGGAAAGACAAGGGTGATGTTGACGTGTATGATGATGGTAATGGTCGTAGGGCAAAATCGCTGCGCCCCGATGTGTTGTTCCTTTGTAAGAGTTCTTTGGCACCTCGAAGTCTATATATTTTAGATTTGTGTGCTTTCCTTGAGACTGACATGCATGGGGAAGGGACCAAATGGTGGGGTTGCCGACTCTACTGCAATTGGCTTCTCGGGGCCGTGCGATGACTCCGGACCCTGTACAGTGTGTGGAAATCGAGTTAAATCATTTGGTTTTGAGATGTTACGCACACCCTACCCTGTACGATAGCTCCGTTATGTGCGGTCCTGAGTAAACCCTGAAGGCGATGTTATCAGGAGATTGTCAAGGGAGGAACCGATTCGCAGGGTATCCGTCGATTGACTTTTACCAGAATCGGTACACCTACGCACATGGCGTCAGCAGGATACTGGTTTGGATCTCCTTGGGTGCACATTCTTTCTCCTGATTTGGACATTTTCCCATGGACACGATGTGCGTCAGTCCTGAGAACACCTCTTGGAATCGATCCTACAAAGAACCTTGTGACACTTCCATCGAATTACCCGTCCTGGCCACGAGAGGTTCCCAGTTGAGGGTAAATTCTGTGGGTGGAGAGTGTTAAGGAGGACCCGATTCGCAGGGTATCCATCCGTCGATTGACTTTTACCAGAATCGGTACACCTTCGCAAGATGCCAGTGGAAACAATGGAAACACCATGTGTTTCACGTTGTTTACCGATCCTCCAATGGAAATGCCAATGTGTTTCATTTCCTTCATACCCCCACGTGTGGGGTGCGACAATGACCTACAACAATACAGCACGGCTAACATGCCAGCGCTGGTTGCAGAGGTGGTAAAGTTGCCCCGGAATCGCTGCTACTCCACTACCACCCTACTGTAGGTTGCGAGTCATCGCACTCCTGTACGGTGACTCCGGACCCTGAGCGGAAATCGAATTAAAAGCGTTGTAGCCATTTTGTTTGCATCGCACCCCTGTGCGATGACTCCTGACCATGCGGTGACTCGCAACCTTACGGTATCCGGTGCCGGCCTGCTCATAAGAATGCCTTGGTAAGAAATCCAGGCTCAGAATTTTGAAATTAAGAAAAAGCGCCGAAGAAATTGAGCTCATCTGACGGAGAAAGAAAATAAATGGACTTCAAGAAATTTGAAATAGCACGATTTCGACTTCCTAGACATAAGAAAGAAAGGATTAAATTCAAGGTTGGCCGCAGGAAATAAGAAACGGCCTCCACGCCTCCACGTGTATCCAAAGCGTGGGGCCTATTTTCACCGCAAGTAGGGTACGACTGCCGCGTGTTTTTGGCATATAATATGATCAAGGCATCCTCCATTGTTGGCAGAGCTCTCCTCGCTCACAATTACATCGCCTTGATTACAGACTACGCCGTGGTGCATGTTTGCACGGATATGGATATGCATGAAGATCCCCCTCATCTACGATTGGTTGGCAGTACATGTACCCGTGTGCATTGCACGGGGCGCCCTTCATCTCTTACGGCAATCTTCGGAGATCTGGTCTGTCCAGCACCAGACGAAGAGCTACACACAACACCACACGGCGTTCGGTAGCATGAAGCGTCTTGTTGCTATCGCGTTGCTGATTGCCAGCATATCGGAAGCATGCTCCGGTGCATCCATTCCCGCCTCGAGCCAGCGGTATCCCCCTCGTACGGCGGGGGGCAGCCTATACTGGACGTCGTCAACCATTGCGACTTCTGCTGCTGCTGCACGAGCGACAATAATAATGCCTGCAACAGATGACGCATTGCCTGCAACAGATGCCGTCGCTCTCTCCTCGTCACGCCGCATGGCTTTCTCAAGAGTGCTGCGAGGTGGAGGTGGCAGTGACAGCAACGGTAGCGGCAGCGAAATGGAAGAACAAGCATCTCCTCCGCAGAAGCAGGATGTTGCTGTGGAGCCAGCTTCTTCCAGCCAGCCGGGTGGAGATCCAACAAAGGGCGCAGTCGGAGAGGGTCCAGAAACAGACGGCGCGACTGTCAAGCCTGCTGCTGCTGCTGCTGCTGCGGCGGCGGCGGCAGTCAAGCAGGAGCCCAAGGGCGATGCCAAGGAGAAAGCTCTACGCGAGGCTCTGCTATCGGCAGATGGCCCCTCCAAGTGAGTTCAGGTGTTGCCGTTTCGTCTGTCAGGCTCTGTCAGTTACAGGCGGCAAGCCCTCAACAACATAACAAGGGTTGTGTCATATTAAGAAGAATAAAAAAAAAACGCAGGACAGCAGTTCAGTCGGTTTTCTTTCATTCGCCGTAAAGACTTCAACACATCCCCTTCGATTACCTTTGCATGTTTAATCTCGAACGGGTAGTCGATCTGTGTTTGTATGTACATTTTTTTAAACGGTAGACTGCTCGCAGAGCTTATACAATGTACATCAGGATTTCATTTGAAACAAGCTTCCTGAAGAAGACCCCTTGTCTACACGTGCGACCACAGCGGGCATTTTTTACGTATCGCACGAGGTTCTGCACATCTTGCACAACGCGCGAAGCAGCTCAGCAGACGGCAAATGGCAGTTCGCCTTGGGAACATGTTCGCACACACACACACCCTCTCGTCCTCGACTCCCAACGCCCCTCTCCTCCTCACCTCACCTCTTACTCGATGACCGTACGCTGCCACCTCTTCAGGATCCTGCGGGAGGCGGAGCGCATTCCCGCTCTCCGCCGGCTGTCCGACAGCGCCCTCCGAGTGACCTCCGCCACGCCGTCCGACGGGAGGCTGGCCGCGCTCGCGCTGTACCGCCTGGGCGCCGCGGCGCGCGCGGCGGAGTCGGCGCCTTCCTCCGGGCTCGCGTCTACGGCAGCGTCGGCCGTGGAAGGCAGCGTCGCGGCCGATGGAGAGAGATCTGCGGTGGGACCGTCGAAGACGGGAGGGGAAGGAGGAGGAGGAGGTGGAGGAGGAGGAGGAGAGCGACCTGAGAGGGGTGGGGCTAACGCCGGAGGCGCAGCTGGGGATGCCGAAAGACCTGCCGCGGCGACGGAATCGGGCGACCAGTCATCGACGACGCCTACCGCCACTTTGTCTGCGGCTACGGCGCGGCAGGGCGGTGAGCCGTTCAACAACGAACAAGGCCAGGCTGGCACTGGAGCTGCTACGGGCACGGGGATCGAAGTGCCGGGGGTCAAGGGCGATACTCCTGAAGAGGCGGGAGCTGCGGGTGAAAGTGTAAAGACGAAGGACCCTGCCCTCGCGGGGAGTGTGCCGCGTTCCTCTGAGGGTGGGGGTGGGGTGGAGGAAGAAGTCGGGACCCCGGCGGCGGCGGCATCGGTTGGCAGCTCTCCAAACAAGGGGGCGACGACGGCAGCGTTCGACATGGAGGAAGTGAGGTCCGACCAGCGGTTTGAGCAGCTCGTGGAGATCATCGAGTGCGTGTCGAAGGACCTTTCGGTTTCGGACACCAGCAAGGCAAGGAAGGAACAGCGCCGAAGGAGGCCAAACAGCAGTTTGTCTTTTTTGTGTGTGCCGTGTCGTTTAGCTTACTTTTCCTTTTTTGAGTTATTTGATGTGGATGTATCGGCGTTTACCAAACGGCCACGTCTAGAGGTGTAGTACGCGACCCATGGCTCTCGGGGAGCCGCCCTTCTGGGGGAAGACGACGAGGGAGACAAAGCGATGCACGTATCATACCACGCTGTCACCGCGGTGCTGCGGCAGCACGATGATGACCCTACCGTTGGTCAATTTCGGAGAACACCGAGACGAAGGCAGGCACACACTCAGAAAGCACCCCACGAAATGTTGTTTTTATCTCAGTATTTAGCCCCCCTCCGCCCCCAAGCTTCCGGTCCCTATCCCGTTCGCCTGTCACTGCCGTACCATCGGTCACCCTTTCCTTTTGGCCCGCTTCCGAGCGTCGTCTTTGGTTTCGTACCCACGCTTTCCCTCTGCTTTTCGTTGCCCTCACCACACCCACCCCCTTTCCGCGCGCGCCTCGCGTTTCTTTCTCCGTTTGGTGCACGTGTGCGTGTTTCCAAAACATTTCAAATGCACGTGCACCAGGTGGTGTGGGGCCTCTCTATCCTTGGACACGTGCCGCGCAACAGCCTCCTCGAGTCGCTGGCCACATTCCTCACGGATCGCCTTCGGCAAGAGGCCGCCACCGCTGCCACAGCCGCCGCCGCCGCCACCGCCGCCGCCGCTCCCAGTGCCGCCGGCGATATCGGCGGGGATCCTGGCGAGGGCGAAGGTGGTGCTAACGGCCAAAAGGTGACGGTTGCCGGGGGCGCCGAAGACGGGATTTCAAGCCCCTCCTCGAGCGATTCGCCGCAGGAAGGGGGCTTGGGGTCGGGGAGCGGGAAGCCTGCGGAGGGTCATGACGATGGTCAACTTTCCGGCATCGAGGGAGGCAATGCCGGCGGCGGCGGCGGCGGCGGCAATGGTGCCGAGGCTGTCGACAAGGCGACGACGGGGGCGGCGAGCCCGAAGAAGCGGGACGCGGTGGCTTGCACGTCCGGGACGGATCTCGCGACTGCGGCGCTTTCCTTCGCGTACGCGCACGCCAGGTGAGGGATCACGGTGTTGGGCCTGCCGGGGGGCGAACGCGCCGGGGAAAACGGCAACGACAGCAGTGAGGATGGGGAGTGTGGGGGTTTACCCCGTGGGGTGTTGCGAACGTAGAGAAAGCTGATGAATGTTGCGACGATAGGCGAGGTGGAGGTTGGGGTTGAGGGAGAGCCACGCGGGGTGTGCGAGAAGAAGTAGCGGGCGATAGGTGGGCTGGGAGTGAGCGTTTGAATAGCGATTTAGTTTTTTCATGTTGCCCCCTTTGCCCTCGGCCTCTCGCTCGCGGTCGGAGTTTTTTCAGTGACTTGGGGCCTCTCGGTTTCTCGGCAAGGATCAAAAGTTCTTGTGGTGGGACCCATGCCTTCATCGAAGACAAGCACCTCTCGTTTTGTCTCGCGTGCGGTTGTCGAAATTTCCAACAGGGGAGGCGTTTAGTATCCGCCGTTTCTGCTCGCGCATCGGATGATCTTCCTCTCTGATGCTCAAGCTACTGCTGTCTTTTCCGTGTGCGTTTTTTGGGGGGGCGGGGTTTCTTCTCCTTGTTTGCTCCCGCAGGCTGGACATCTCTACGGGGGAGCTGCTCGAGGTTATCGCCGCGTGCGCGACCCCTCAGCTGGCGGCGATGCCGCTGAGAGACCTCGCCAACCTGTCGTGGGCGTTCGCGGTGCAGCATCGGCTTCACCCCGAGATGATGGCGGGCGTCGGTCGAGAGGTGAGCTCGCTGTGGTGGCTAGCTTTCTTCTCTATAGGGAGGGGGTGGTGGTGATAGCAGCTGCAGTAGCGATGCTGGCGTTAAGCTTACCTCGGGAAGGAATTAATTTCCATCAATGCGGGCAGCAGCGGTGGCTATGCCGGCATTCTGTTTTTCGGTAGCAGAATAACTCATCACGGTGCGTGCTTCGCGGAATATTGTTACAGCGAACTTATGAATCAGTGCCAGGCTGAGTGACCACGGAATACCGATATCTGTGCGCCATTGGGTGAAGGTGGCTAGGTAGACGGCTTGGAGCTTCGCTGCCGTCATGAAGAGAACTCACAACAGCAGTGGAATTCATCACCGGCGCCCCCTACCGTGCCTCCGTTTCCGTTTTGTGTTTGGCTGTTCGGTTGCATAATTACCACGTCTGGCCGATTTTTCTCCTTTTTTTTTTTTTTCCTTCCGGCCGGACATCCCCATCCACGCCGACGATAAACGCCGACAACGCGAAAAAAGTAGATCGTGTCCAGCCGGGCTTCCGGCCGCATGGCGGCCAAGGACGCCTCCATACTGGCCTGGGCCTACGGGATGCTGGGCCTGCGGCCCGCCAGGGTGATCGAGGCCCTCACCCGCGAGGGCCTGGCGACGGTCCAGGAAGCCACGCCGCACGACCTGTCGAACCTGGCGTGGGGGCTTGCGAAGGCGGGTGCGGGAGGCAGAGGCAAGGAAGAGGCGGAGGTGGAAGGTGGGGGTTGAGATGATGCTGGTTTGCTTCATGAACAACTGGAATTGGTGCCGCTGAACGGCGGACGCTCTTGTTGTGAGTTACCGTTTCGGGAGGGAAATGGTTGGTTCTTTTCCGACAGCCGTTATTTTTTGTAGGTGCCTGAGTTTGCTTCCATGAGCAGCGATGCGATACTTCCATTCGTGCTTCGAAGGAAGTGGCAGACCGAGGGTATGCAAAGTTGCAACGTTCGGCTAGGCTTTTCTGAGCCGGGAGCGTAGCATATGTTTCATCTGACAGCAGTGTCTTTCGACCCTCTCGTCAGCGAAGCAGAGGTTGTTTTTGCCGTGTTTCGAAGCGCGTTTTTAGCACCTCCTCTCTATCCGAGTGCTATAGTGGCTACCCTCTGAATCTCCGCACACGCCTCTCCCAACTCCGGAGTGAAGACGTGATACGACCGGTGCGGTACAATCGGGGTCCTTCTCCCCCGTCCTTACCCCCGGCTGTCCTCGTCGTTGTCTGAAAAGCGAAACAAATCACGCACACACCGCTACGGAGGGTTCTGAATTCTGAATCATCCGCGTCAAACGTAGCCTGGGCCGGCCCGCGAAAACCCGGCATACTTATCGCTCCTCCGCCCCGGCATTGTAGAGGTCGATGGTCTGCCGACTACGTTTGCATGAGTGCACGCCTCCCCGTAACCCTGCCCTGCCGGCAGATCCGGTGGCGTCGGCGGCATCCGAGGACTCTGGTAGCGGTGGAGGAGCGGGCAACGAGGCCAAGGCCGGGGAGGAGGCCGAGGCCTCGGCGCTGGGCGAGAGCGGGGAAGCGAGCGGCGGCGGCGGAGACGCCGATGGCGGCGGCGGTGGCGCGTGGGGCCTCGGGTGGGTGAAGTCGAGGTGGGAGCGGGGTAGCGGCCCGGAAGGGGACGGAGAAGAGGAGCAGGAGGACTGCGGCGAGGGGTTATCAGAGGAGGGCTCGGGTAGCGGGGAGGCGTCCAGTGATCCTGCTGACATTCACGCCACCTCGGTGGAAACCCTCGCGGACCTGGTTTCCCGGAGGGAAGGAGGAAGAGGCTTCGATGGAGCAGAGAGGTTGGGAGAGGCGGTGTTGGGGGGGGGGAAGGAATAGGTAGGGGGGGGGGGGGGGGGTGGCGGGGGGGGGGCTCCGGTTGTTTTTTCGCTCGCCTCGCTCGGGTTTTTTCGCGTCGCACTGGGAGGTGGTTTTTGACCTGTGTGTTTGGTTGGGGTGTTGAGTATCGTGCGCTGTGCTTGGGAGTCTGCCTCGCGGAACTGATGCCTCCTTGCCCCGCTCTTTGTGTCGGCGTCTGTCGCTTTTCGTCTCCCGAATTGTTTTTTCCCTGCGTGTGTGACGCTGGAACCCACCAGTTTTCAGCACTTCCAGCCTAGGCAGCTGTCGAGGCTGTGCTGGGCGCTGGGGGCGTGGCACGGGCGTGGGTCTGTCAAGCTCCTGGGGTCCGACATTTTCGCGGCGAGATCGTTGTCAGAAGCCGGGCAACACCCCAAGGAGTACACAGCCGAAGAGCTAGCTCAGGCAAGGCAGCAGCGAGGAGGCGGGGTTGTTCGTGTATGCAACACCAGTTGTAAATTTTTCGTTGTTGTTGTTGCTGTCTCTCTCTCTTGTTGGTGTGATTTTTGTTTTGGGGTGTCTCCCTCTGGGTCTTGTTTTTTTTTTCAACGCATAGTCTGCATATCCCTGTTGCGCTAGGGAGCGCGCGCATGGTACGCTCCTCCACGATCTCGGTTTGTACGGAACCGCGCCCGCACTACTTTAGCGCCTCCTTTTTCACTTCACACAACAAAAAAAAATGCTCCCCATCACCGGCATCAGGTTCTCTGGGCGTTCGCCACTCTGGTGGGCAAGGCCGACTCTCCGGCTCATGAGCTCGCCGGCCTCGTGGGGGCCCTGGCGGAGGGCTTCGAGACGGAGGGAGCCCGGGGCATGGGAGGAGGAGGGGGGGGAGGGGGGGTCTCCGCCGCCGGCAGGGAGGGGGGCCTGGACGCGGCGACGGCGTGCGACGTGCTCTGGTCGTTCGCGACGATGGGCCACCCGGCCCACAGCCTGTGCGAGGCGATGGCGAGGGACCTCGTCAACAAGGCGAGGCAAAGAACAGAATGATATAAGATGCACGCCTTCTTGGTTTGTCCCGCATCTCGCCGTCGTTGCTTGGGGATCGTGAGCCGCTGCTGAGATTGGCGGTTGGGTTGCTTGTTATAAATTCGAGGAGAAAGGGGGGTGGGTTGCCTGAGAGAGCAGGACGGCAGGCAAAGGGTAAAAGGAGGATGTTGTTGATCCTGTAGGTTTTTGCCGGTGAAGTTCGATGGGGTCCGCGGGGTCTCATCCGTGTTGGTTTGGAGACAGCCGGAAATTTATTGCCTGGTTGTGACGTACATCTGACCGAGAGGGAACCGGGCACGAAGGGAGAAAATAAAAAACAAGAACACGGAACCACGGAAGGGAGGTAACAAAAAATGGAATCGCGTCTATTGCTGATGCGACTGGCGTCTCGCTCTCAAAGTTTGTTGTATCATGCTGGCGGCCCCCTCCATATATATTTTTTGTGCTTCTGAGCACTGCTCGCATGGAGCTCGCTGCAGAGAGGAGCGGCGTGTATTTTTTTTTGTTGCCCCTTGTTCATCGAGCTTTCGGTTGTGCGGCGGCATGTGCGCCCGCCCACCCGTCCCGCGCATGCATGCACACGCCAGGTGCCGGAGCTTCCGCCTTCGTCGGTGTCGCAGCTGGCGTGGGCATACGCCAAGATGGGACATCCTTCCGCGGAGCTCATGGAACGCGTGGTGGGTTGTGAAGGGCACGGGGGTTGGGGGACTGCATGAACGTATACGTAACAGGCACCTGTAGAGAATGAAACACCGGAGGGTGGGGACGAATGTAAAACACAGGCACATCTGCAGAGATTTTTTTTTTTCTGGTGCTTGGCTGTGGTTTTTGTAGCTCTGCATGACGCGTGTTGCCTTGCGCTACGTAAGTATACACACGAGTCGTCGCGTTCTGTGGTACGTGAGTCGGCCCCCCACCCATGCTTGGCGTTCCCCTGGCTTTCGCTTGCACTTCCCTCCGGTCGGTGGTTCGCCCAACCCGCTCTCTCGCACTTCTCGCTTGCAATTCCGCCGCACGTATCGACGGACGACGGTCTTGGTTGGTTGGTTGCTTTGCTGCGTGACGCGGTGGGGTGTCAGCTGAGCGTGGTGGAGAGGAGGCTGGACGAGTTTACCGTGGAGGAAGCGGCGAGCGCGCTCTGGGCTCTTGGTGCCCTCGGGTACACGGTGTCTCTCAAGGTATGAAGATGTACCCTGTTCCGTGAGACCGCCGTCGGATAGGGGGGGGCTCTATCTACACGCCCTCGCAGGCCTTCCTGCAGATGCTGATTGGATGAAGCACGAAAGCGCTGCAAACAGCTACCACTCTGTTCACTAATATTCGAGCCATTCGGATACAAGCCCGAATGCCACAATGGTCCCTACATTTCCAACCGGAGTGGGATTAGCGATCACACTCCTCTTTCTCCCTTCGATTTTTTGGCATCGTAACAGCGCCAGTTCGACGTCACGAAGGACGACCTCACCTCGCTCAGCCCGTCCGCGTCAGCGAACTTGTTGTGGGGCTTGGTCAAGACGGAGGCGGCATTTGCAGACGGCTTCGACCGGGAGTGTCTCGAGGCTGTCGCGGCAGACATGGGACCCAAGCTGCTCAGCTTCTCGCCCAGGGTAAAGCAAAGCTCACCGACGAGGCTGTGTTGAGCTTTTTCGGGGTGTGGGAGAGGTCGTAGAAATAGATTCGAATACACAAGAATAGCAGTTCGTGAGTTCTGCGGTCACACAGTGTGCCACGACCCCCCCCGTCCCCCAGCTGAGGAGCGACGTGTCCCACACCCCCCACTCGTTCCGTGTGGGACCCCAACAATTCGCTCAGCTGCGCGAACTCCGGTGCGCATTATACCGCTCTCTATTCGTTGTTGATGCCGGCGTACCGCACCAAGCGTCTCCAAGATTCCGTTCTCATTCCTCTTGCGTCGGCGGCTTTAGTCGATGACGATTCCTAGAGGAAAGGGGGCCTCTCCGGACACATCTATCACGCCACCCTCCCAAGCCCATCACGCACTCACGCAGCCCAGCGCTGCCGTCCTCTCTCTTTGTACTTCCATTCGGCTCCGCGCAGGAGCTTTGCCGCACTGCTTGGGCCTTGGGGCGGCTGGGTCTGGGAGGCGTTTTGTTCGGGGGACCCGCGACGGACGGCGGGGGGGGAGATTCGGACGATGATGGCCCTGCGGTAGATGGGGGGTGCGAGTTGTCGGGGCTGATGGACAAGCTCTTGGGGGAGTGCTCGAAGTGGATCGAGATGTTCACGCCGCAGGTACCGCACTTACCCCAAGAGAAACTCCATAGGCCTTGGGGTTGGCGTCTGTGTATGGGACTGGTGGCAACAGCAGCGGATTTCTTTGTGGCGGGGCTAGGAATAGATTTTTTTTTATTTTGTAGCCCGTCGAGGAGATGCCGGTGCAGATACACAAGCCCCGGGGAAGGATTGGAGTCTCTGCCGGGATGCATGTTGACGCGGCAGGTGCAAGCAGAGGCAGCGAACCTTGTTGGTACCATATGGACGTGTTGTTCCGTTGTAGACCTTTCTTACGGAGGTTTTTATACAAGGTGATGCCCTTCGACTCTCCCCCCATGTCGCCGTGGATCGGTTGCGAAGAGGAGCTTCACACCCAACGCTTGCACCGACACCAACCCCGCCGCAAGGCGAGAATTCGACGTACCTGCCACAATCTAGCCCCGCCCGCGCGCTCGCTCGCCCGGTGCTGGTGCAGCAAACAGCGTGGCCTGTTCAGGAGGGTACGCAAATGCGACGGCCCTCCGTCTCTGCAGTCCGCCGTTCCCCGATGGTCAATTCTGTAAAGGCATGTTGAACTAGTTGGAGTGCTCCTTGACCTCCCCCCACTCGGCCGTACGCCACCCCCGTGCACGCCCGCAAACGCCCGCTTAGGAATTGGAAACCTTGCTGTGGGCCGTCTGCCGTCTGGAGCACCGAGCGGACGACCTGGTGGCCGACATGGCGGCGGAGGTACGCGCAACCAACCACTTGTTTTTTGTGTTCTGAAAAGTTTTCTCGCGCAATGAGAGTTGATCGGTGCAACCAAGAAGAGGCGTTTTTGAGATATGGGCTGCACCATTTCACTGGGCTTCTTGGTAGAAAGTGTTTCGTTTGTTTGTTTCACCTTTCCTTCTGTTTTTGGGTCTGTAAGGCTACAAATATTTTCCGCTGATACGATGAGTTGTTGATGAAAGTGCCCAAAGGGCCTTTCACTCCTGCTGCCTGTCCCAGGAAAGTGAATTCTCAAGTGTCTTTTGCGCGGGGGACCCTGTTTTGACGCCGTTCGGGGTTTGTCGTTTTGTGTCGTTTATTGTTGGAGTCGATGTCTTCCCGATCGGTGTCCGGAGCCCAGTCTTGAAGGAAGTTTTCGTGAGAATGATCTGCACCTCCGTACCAAGATCGGTTGCTATGCGAATCTCTTCGTATCACCGCCCGCACGGATGTAGCAGTCAGGTGAATTTTGTCACCATGGAAGGCGTTTCTGGAATATCCATGGGTATGTAGCTCCTCCTTGACACCCCTTTTTCTGCCCAGCTAAGTTTTGCTCTCTTATTTCACAAAAAAGTTTTGTTTATGTTGCGTCCCCAATACTGATAATTATGAAATACCCGTGTATCAGAAACAAAGCACACCCAATAATACACTGCATTGTCAGTTCTACACGGCCCTAACCCTTATGAATGACCATGTACGTCCGGCAGGGAAAACGGCGCCAGGAGGAACTGCCGAGCCTGCTGAAGCAGTCGGGGCCCTCGGCAGCGCGCGACGCGGCCTTTCACCTAGGGGCATTTCGACACCTTCTCGCCAAGTACAGGGGGGTAGACTTCGACGGCCGGAGGGCGAGGGGGAGGTATCGCCGGGGCAAGAGCATGATTTCTCGCATGTTTCGAGAGAGATGAATAAGTTCACCATTTCGAGAGAAAGATGAAGTAGTTGTGCTTGGTGGACTATGGATGTAGTGTTGTCGAGTGTTGGTTGTTGTGGTGGGCTGGTGACAAGAAGGCGTGCCGCGATGCCTGTTGACTGTGACGTTTTCAAGTTGTGGGAGCATACGCTGTTGGGGTTTTCGGGATTGATTTGGTCGCCGACCGCATGTCGCGAACAAGAACGAAACTGTGGATGTTCAATATCACTACTTCCGTTTTACACTGTTGTACGTGCTCCTTTGCCGTGCTTGTTCGGAGATGCCGGTAGCTCTCCCCGTGGGGCAGTTGGTTCTGCTCGTTCCCTGTTACTGTCAGCTCTCGCAGTCACACATATGTGATGCGGGTCGGCCGCAGACCCCGTCTCCGGACGGAAACATGTCATCAACATCCGAATGTCTTGTGCGACTGCTGTCGTATTTCACACTCTCTCGTTGCTGGTATGGTGTCTTACCATCGTTAAGCCACGCCACAGAGTAGACAGAATTCGTTAGGAACCTTGGGGGGTCGGCAAACACCCCCGACAGGGATGTGGGCACGGTGAGGCCGTTGCGTTGTTGGCAGCCCCGTTGCTGGTCACTCACTTACCCTCGCGCCAATATGTGGATATTCTGCACGCCACAAGGGGAGAAGGCGAGGAGGTGTGAAATCCGATGTTGTCTTGGTGTTACTCGCTTGAAGAGTTTTGGACGTGGGGCGGCGTTAGTCTAACGCGTGCAGTCTTAGTCTTGCCAGCACGTTTTGCGAACAAACCTGGAAGGAGTTTTAAGAATATCCGGTGTATGAACTGATCTGTAACGATACATTTTGCAGAAATCTTCACCTACAACTGCTTCTTGAGGAGGGTGGTTGCGTTGCCTAGAGAGTGGTAGCGTAGTTGTTGGTACATAGATAGATGCGTTTCGGCGACAAGAAGCCGGGGGAGGAACCTGTGTCACGCTCTTGAAATAAACGCGTGTTCCAAAACGAGTTTTTCTCGCCCATTGTGTGCGTGTGGAACCTGGATTTTCATCATGCCATGATACTACCGCTCGAAAGGCGAGGTGTCCAGCTGCGCAGAAGGTTTAGCTGAGGAAGGAGAGGAGTAAGTAAAAGCTGTATCAACCCGCTCTGAGTTCGGAGTCAAGACGAAATTATCTATGCCTGAGGGAAGGAAAATTAGTCACTACATTTACATTCCCCATCCCCACGGTTACCTCGAATGCGGCCAAACCTGTCGATTACAGTGTGCTCAGCGCGCTACGAGTGTGGCTTGCTCTCAATTTGCACCGGTTCATACATGTAAACGAAGTTTCACGCCTATTCGGAGAATATCCATGAAGACCCCTGTGCGAAACGTTATAGTCTAGTCCCGAGCGAATTGCGGCACTACATGTTGAACGACGGGGAGAAGCCAATAAGCCCTGAATTTTAGAGGAGCTTTAAAGGTGGGTTTTCATCTCTGATATCAACTACCTAACTGTTATGGGTAGATGAACGAGACCAAGCGGACAACCGGTCTTGTCCTTTGAAAGCACGGCCATGCGTCCGTATACTCTTTGAAAAATCCCGTGGTGGTATCGGCAGTGCCCACCTACGGCAAGATCTCGCCACCAATCTATGTGTGTAGGATTTCATGTGGCGACGGCGGCCGAGCCCAGGTTTTGGCAATATTTGTCGGTGTTTCCTCAACCAACCATGGTGCATGAACCTCTCTGGCCATAATATATCCAATCAAACTGTTTGTAGGATCTCATGTGAAGACGGCGGCTGAGGCCATTTTTATTGTGCAAAATGTTCGTGTATCTTCAAGCTTGGATGGCCCTCCCTGGCCAAAAACTGTTCAATCAAATTGCGCGAGAACGTGCGGCACAGACACTTCTCCTTCCAGTAGTGGCGAGTTCCTCAGGATTCAAGTATCGGTTCACGTGAATTTGTGGTTTGTGTTGTACATTGTTACCTGCGAGGCAAGTACATCGAATGTGAGATGGAGCAAGGAAAGTGCAGCTGTTTGCTTATCTGTGCATAGCACGTCCTCTCCCGTCGTCTTCACAACGTATACCCTCGTAATGCTTGGTTTTGCCGTTCTTTCTATATATCCATGCACAGGAAGTTTGGATGCGGAATGGTTATTGCTGGCACAACATATGCCGCCCTACCGTGTAGAACTCGTCACGGGTCAACCAACGATATTTTTTGCCGCCACATGCACGAACTGCATAGACTATCGATGGCGTGTAGATTCTTCGGGCGGGGGGTTACATTCAGTTCGTATTGCTGTAGTTAGGGTCGAGGGGGGTTTCGAGCGGAGCCAACTCTCCAGAGAAAAGTTTTCCTCACGATGCGTACGTAGTGGTCTAGGCCGTGATGCGGGTCCATTCCCGATATGGTTATCCCGGGCTGTGGAGACCTGACCGCCTACTCTAAGTACAGTAGTTGCTGTTGTTCCAGTCTATGTGTAGGGCCAGCAGAGCCAACCTGCTGGTGAGATGAGAAAATTATGCTTTGCTGCCATTTCGCATTCGCAACGCTACAGCAGTACAAGGAAATAATACTCCGACATAAGGGGGGGGGGGGGGGGTGCTCACCCTAACCCTAAACGCACAACACGAAATGTATTTCGCGACCTCCACACGATCTCTCTGCTATAACATCCGATTGTTCTCACCGCGCAAGAGCACGCCGGACACCAAAACGACAACATACGACATCTAGTCTACGTACTGCTGTAGTATGCAGGGCAAAAAGCGACGACACGCCGTATCGAAATAGCAGGAACACTGGACACCTCTCACGCACCTCACCGGTGTATTCGTTCAGGTACTTATGACACAGGAAACACCGCAACTCCAACGATGTAACGGCAGCACGCCACGTTCAGGAAGCTGGCAACGCTGCAACGGCCCGCGGACAGTGTCGTTTCGCGGAACTGTCATATGCGGCGTCATCGCCTACCAATCACGTACGAGTCGTGGGAGTTGTGGGAAGGGATGTCAGCAGTACTTTTTCTCTGAATACAGGGGTCCGGGGATGAAAGCAAGACGCGCGAAGAGGGAAGTTGAGGGAAGGCGAGAGGGGTGAAGAGTTTCTCTCGCCACGCACAAGGGGAACAACACGTCTCGAACAATCGCCGGGAGCTGGTGCTTCCGATCATCACTACCGCGTTATTCCTTTGCCGTGAACTCGGACGAATTTGAGAAGGTGAGAACTGCGCACGGTCTCGCTCGAGCAGCCAGGAATCGCTGACACACACTGGCTGATTTGGTGTAGGTTTACCCTGATGGTTCGTTCGCGCAACTACTACTACAGCACTAGAGCGGGCGTCTCTACTTCAGAAATCGGAGAAAGTCGTAGAAGCAGTGAGGACCTTGCTCCGACCTCCCTACGTTCCCCTTCGCCGCTGTTGGTGCTTGTCTGGAGTCAGTTGTGTTCGCCCAGCGTGGTTCCCTCTTGTTGCTCACCATGTTCAAGACCGTGGGCCGTTTGTCCTTTGCCTCGCGCGGACGTACCAGCCTCGTCAGATACGGAGAGTAGAGCTGCGGACTTTGTGTGTTGAACAACCTCCGCGTCAGCGTTGTGGGCCAGGCAATAGACGGGTGTCAATCAATCGCCACGTGCGTGCACCAGACACAAACATGTTGTGGCCTGGTCGTTGTGTTGTCTCTGCGTTGCACGTGGAGAGCACTCCCTCACGGGTGCGTCGTCCCTGTTCAACTGCCGTACATACACACCTGCACCTCTCCGAAAGACAGCATGCAATGTGCAGTTCGTTGTTATCATGTCGCAGAGTCTAGCCTTCTTCGTAGCCTTCTTGCAATACATAATCATAAAGCCTGCCGCGTTTGCATTCGACCACAGCAGTCTGAGCATCATCCTTGGAGCCCTTTCTCTCGGCGTCGGTGCCATGGCTGAGCACGTGACACACATTTCACCATCGCCGCACCAAACTTTCCCACAAAGATTGTTGAGTCACAGCTGATTGTACCCGAGTTGGGACCTCTCATGATCGACTTTCTGTTGTTGGGTGATGCTGCGGGTGATATACAAGACAGCGGGCGGTTGATTGTTGCGCCTGAGTTGGGTCCTCTCATGATGGAACAACTGCTGCCGGGTGTTTGTGCGGGCAAATATGCATACAATACAAACGGCGGTATAGCTCCGTGATAACTTCGAGCGCCATTCTGCAACACGGCACGGCGGCAGTGTTTCAGCAAGCGCCTCTTGCTCAAGGGCTTCGCGGGCACCTACTACACCGTTCGTGTGCCCCCGCTCGGTAGAAAAAATTCCCGGCGGTGCCTGCTACAGCAAAATCCCTGCGGCGTATGTATAACCCTTCGCTGACACTTGAAAACCCAACCGCTGCTCTTCTTCTACGACCTGCTACAACTATTAATGCTTGTGTGCGCGTTCCTGCTACGGCGTTCACACCCCCTTACCCCCCGCGTTTCCCCAAAACTGAATCAGCAGCAGCAGCAGCAGCAGCGGCCAGAGCGAGAAAAAACAACACCCCTTCACGGCAAAGAGGGCCGAGAGGATACAACACAATGTACGCTCTTCATAGAGGCGGCGCCGTCGCGGCCACAGCCAGCGCCGCGGCGAAGAACGCCTCTTCCTCGAGGTTGCCGCTATCGCAGGTCGCCATGACACGGAGGGCGCTTTGCCTCGCTCGTCTCCATTCCTCAACGGGGGGGGCGGCTTCAGAGGCGATGCGCAGAGTTAGGGCCGAATCAGCAGCGGGGGGAGTGCGGCGCCGCGCGGCAGGGGTGCGCGTGGCGCCGCCGGTGTGGAGCCGCAGCACTAGAGGGATGGGGTCGTGGACGCCGGCTCGGGGCTCCCCACAGGAGCGCTTTGGGGCCGCGGTGGTCGGTGAGCTTGTTGTCCTGGCCTTGTTGTTGCTCTTCACGTTCAACACCGTTCCTGCCTCCGCTCGGTACCTGCTACTACAGCTACTACAGTGTCCGCTGGTCCAACTGACGCGAACACGTGCTTTGTCTTGTTGTGCGACAGACAGGTGTTGTGTCGATGGTTTTATATCCGCCGTTCTCTCCATACGCATACAAGGTTGGACAGTACCAGCGTACGTTTGGGTTCAGGGAGAGCGGCCGGCCCCCTTGGTTGTGCCAACGCTGGTCCACCTAAGCCCCGCGCGGCTCTATCTCTCTCCCCCGCGTCACTCTCGGTCCGCCGCGCCACTCTCGGTCCGCTTCTCGCCCTTTCCATACCCTGTCCTCCCCCCCGTATCCTCAACGTCCGATATCGTTATTCACCTGCTAACCTAGGCTCTCACTCGGGGGGGGGAAATCCTCGCACCGTCGCGCGTTTTCCGTCTCTTCTTACCCTGCCTTGCCGCCAACAACAACATCATCCATGCCATCGTGAATCAGACGCCGCGTTGAGCATGCGAGAGTCTCTCGAGGCCAAGCAGCTCATCTGGGCTCAAAAGATCCCCAAGGGCTTCGACAACTTCTTCCCCAAGGGCGGGGGCGGCGGCGCATCCCCCTCTAAAGAAGGGCAGGTGAGAGATAAAATGGCGGTGTGCCATTATCTGAGAGACGACTGCCGTTTGCGCGATGAAGGGCCAATTTTTTTATTCGTGAGCTTTCAGTAGGCATGGCTGGCTGCAAATGCCATTTGGTGCGTTGTCGTTGTTGTCCCTGCCGCAGGTGGACGATGTGGCTAGGCCCCGTTTATCCCATCATTTTTCGGTGCGAACACGCACGCGGCTTGGACGGCTCTCGTCTCTTTGTTGGATCTTGCAATCTACTTAAGTACCACAGTATTTTCTAGGCCTCCCTCCGGAGCGGGGTAAATAAAGCACTGCGGCAAGGGGTGATGCAAGAACATGCAACAGCAAACAGGGGGAAAACGGATGCTGTACATGTGCATATATATGAATTGATGGACTTCATGTACTTCCGAAAGGGTTTGCGCCATTTTTGGGAGCTCGGCGCGAGCCTTTTCTTCTATATGCAGATCCTACTGTAGGAATTCGGCTGCAAGAACAACGCGCGAACAATTTGTTTGTTTCGTCAACATGCAGATCTCTTGAGGGCATCCGACCCTCGCACCTAGAGCTCACCCATCTCGGCGCCTCTACACCTAGGACTCGGTACACCCAGCCAGAGAGCTAACTACCATACCAGCCAGTGCCCTGATAATCTTACAACGTAAAACCGGCCAGCCGTGGTGTCATCTCGCTGTTGCCCCATGCTTAGTGGTCGATATACACAAGCGTTGTCTCTTTCTGGATTTTTATTGGTTACACTGAAACCCCGCATGCCGCACGCAATGTGTATGTATGTGCAGTATGCGTATATATACCGCAATGCCAACGTCGGTCCCAACCTGACGCTCGGCGGTCGGCACGGTCTGCATTGCTCTGCACCTCTGCTGACACCGCCACGACATGGCTCGACTGCTGCAAACTACATGTTTCTCCTTACTGGTTGCGGCTGCTGCAGCTGTTCACACACATTGCTGACGTGTGTGCTTGCTTCTTGACATGGTGTTTGACGCTGACGTACGTACATAATCTTACATTACAGCCGTAAGAATTTTCTGGAGATTCTGGGGAAGGATTCGCAAATCAGTATATTGTCCTATTTTTTGGTGTCAGACATCATTAGGGCAACACAGCCTCTTACATGAAAGGGCAATATACCCCGACTCCACCATACCCCACCCTACCCAAAGGCGCAACAGTCTTATTCGGTAGTTTTGAAGTCGAATGTCCTCCTGTAATGCCCCATCCTCTCGAGGACGCGTGGTCAACGGTCTAACCGCTATGGCATGCCACACATGAGTACCTCGGTGAAGGAGACACCTGGTATTTTTGCTCAACAAAAGTGTCCTTAAGCCCGGGAAGTGTCCTTAAGGTTGACACCCCCCCTTACGTTGTTTATTCTGCGAGCCACCATGCCTGTAAAATAAAAGTGTCCTCTACCGAGGAAGTTGTGTCCTCTACCGAGGGATTTCCATAAATTTCGGTTCCAAGCGAGGCACGACTGCTGTACTCCCTTTGTGCACCCGCATCCCGCACTGCTGTCCGTACCCGCATGTCAAAAACGCCTCGTTCAGGGTAAAGCCTTCCCGGACATCGGCGGGGCGAAGGGAGACGCCGACTCCTCCGCGGGCAAGGAAGGCAGCGAGGCATCCAGCAAGGCTTCGGGGCAGAAGGAGGGGAAGGGGGGTGGAGCGGACGGGGGGAGCGGTGGCGACAGGAGGACGCCCGGAGGGCAAGAGATGGCGAGTGTTGTTGTTTTGGGAATGGACATAAAGGCCGTTTTCCGTGCGTGTTTAGAAAGGGCATTGTTGTTTTGAGCTTGTAAGTAGAGGCCGTTTCCGTGTTTGCTGGAAAAGGGCATTGTTATTTTAAGAGTGTAGATTGAGACCGTTTTCCTTGCTTGTCGGCAAGGGCAGCGTTGTTTGAGCGCGTAAATAGAGGCCGTTTCTGTAGTTGCTGGGAAGGGCATTTGTTGTTTGAGGGACCGTTTGTTGGAGAGGGTAAGGGAGGAGAGATCGCGATGACAAGCGAGGTGTTCGTAGCTACCGCCGGCAGGCTGAGAAGAGAGGAGATCGTCTCGTGCGCCCTGAGGGGATTCTTGTGGGAGCGGGAAAATGAAGAGCGTGCTTGGACACAGGGGGGAAGTATGCGCTACCCCTGGTGTTTTCTTTGTGTTTCGGTGCTAGGGAAATTGTTGTGGGCCTTGTCACCCCGGTGGTGCTCTTGAGTCAACTCTAGACGTTCCGAACCTCCTCGCGTATTGACCAATCACCCTTTGTGCAGTCTTGCTCGATGGCAGTGCTCGATGGCAGTGTTAACTCCGACCCCAAACCGTCGGTTGAGGATGCTCGACTGTGGAACCAGGCATTTCAGCTGTTGTGGGTAGGAACCCCCCCCCCACGGCATCTCCCCCCCCCACACGCCTTAACCCCCGCCACCCCCGCCGGCGCAGAATGAGCCCGGTTTCACCCGCGCTTCGAAAGCAGTAGAAGCTTGGCGCCGGCTCGCAACCGGCCGCTGTTTCAGGAACGCACAAACTCTACAAGAAAGCTTGTGGCCCTCTTGGATGACCCCAACTCCAGCTGTATACGTTGGTCGAAGCACACTCTTGTGCTGAGCATGAAGATGCTCGAACCCATACCGGAGTGAAGTGTACGCATGTACTGCTGTTTTATGCACCTCTGGCCGACAATCAATCTTGAGCCCGTTGGCATGGCCTATGTTTTTCTCCCTACTCACCGTCTCACCACCCGTCTCGAAACTTCCTTGGTGGCGCTTTTTTTGTGATTGTTTTTTTTGCAGCTTGTGGCGGCGGCTATGATGGCGTTTTTGTTTTCGCTGCTGACGGACAGCTCGGGCGATTCTGGCAAGCGTCCGGTGGAGATCACCTGGCAAGATTTCACCACGCTCTTGCTCGAGAGCGGAAAGGTACGATACGGTGTTTTGTTTCTGTTTCGTTAGTTAACGACTCAGGTCGGCAATATAAGGACCATTCGGACATCAATGTGATTGTCCGAATGGTCCCTATGTATCCGAACGGAGCGGTATTTGTTTGGGAACGAGCTGGAACGGAGCGTTTTGTGATACGACACGGTGTTTTTTTTCCCGTTTTGTGTGTTTGGTGGCGAGCGCGAGCATCGAGCGGAGATTTTGTGGTACGTGTGTTCTTGCCGTGCAGCACACGGGTATGCTAGGGAAAAATGTAGGATTTTCGACACTAGGGTGTCATACATTCACAAGCAAGAGAAGGAGTATACGTGGTTCTCATAGGAAGCCCCAAGAATTTGTTAAGCCATGTCGCCAACGTTCCCAAGAACGCTCTCCATTTCATCACTGCCCTTCTTGTCCTGGCCCCCAAGCAAGCCTCTCCATCAACCCTTTCCCGAATCAATCGCCGGCCTTGGCCAGGTGGAACGCATCGTGGTGGCGAACCACACGACGGCTAGGGTAGTCATGAAGGAGCCGGTGGACCTCCGGTCCATGACGGACGGCTCCAACACCATGGGCGGCGGCGGCGGCGGCGGCGGCGGCAGCAGCAGTGATACGATGATGTCTCGATCAGAGGTGAGGGGGGTGGGCCTCATGCGTTGTTGTTTGTCTGCGATACAGCGAGGTTCTGTGTGTTGTTTTAGGGAGGGGGGCTGCGGGAAGGGCGGGAATATGGGGGGCGCGCCGGTGAGACGTACACCCAGCAGTGCGGCGTAGTTTGTACCAAGACATGCACGACGGCTCGTGCGGCACGAAGATGTGTGGGAAGACGGGCATCCTGTCGATAGGGGATTTCCATGGCAGACCACGCGTTTTGTAACCCGTGTCTTGGAATGGTGCCTCTGCTTGTGGCGTCGCAGTAAATTTTGTCGTCGAAGGCATGTATTTAAATGCTTCTGTGGATTCCAGAGATTTTGCAACTATTCGAAGACAGAAGAGGGTTTCAACTGAAAGACGACACGACGCCCGGTGGGTGTCGATGCTAATTGAAAACACCCAAACCAACACAACGCGATACCTCCCACACCCACCCTTGGATATGTATAAAAAATCAGCCGGATGGAGGTCGGGGCCACGCGGACGGGGGGTTCGAAGGTACCGGCGGCAGCGATTGGACGAAGGGGGTGGCGGATGGCGGCTGGGCGACCGGCGGCAATACCGATGACCACAAGCACATGCGGGAGAGGCTGTGAGTCGACCTCTTTGGACATGAGTTACTACCACCGTAGGTTGCACAGGATGCCACCCCCCCCCTTTGACCACTGTTCAGAGCTCAAATACTGTGCAGGTCAAACCGTTACGGTGCGAAAATGGCGACGCTGGCCAACGCTCCCTCTCGTGGAGAGGCTTCCCGAAGACGTATGCGACATGTCTCTTCTTTCTCGAGTTGTCGGTCTTTGAAAATCGGTCCAGGGGGTGGGTGTGGCATCTTATGCAACTTGCCGTACTCTCGACCGGGGGCTGTGGTCTCGCCGCTGGTTTTGCCCTGCTTGCCCGTTGCGTGTCTCGTGGGTGTCGGCGGTTGCGCGGTTCCGCCGCGTTTTGGGGGTTTCGGTAGAGGTGTTACGCCGCGTGACGAAGAGAGGCGGACACGGCAGAATGGAGGCATGAACAAATCGTGCTGTATCCATGCAAAATATGGCAGTGTACACTGGCCCACGCACGCTTGGTTTGGAACGAAATTCCCACCCGCACAGGCGGACCACGTCTTAAAAATGAAGAAACCCCAACGTTGTCGATATCATCACCGGATCCGCGAACCTCCGATCCTCGCGGCCACCGACAATCAATCGAAGTTGCTGCTGTCGGTGCCCGCTCATTTGCTGGGCTGCTCTCCGGCAGCAAGCATTGTGCGGAGCCCCCGGTACCATGCCAGCTTCCGATCGATCGCCTCGGTTCTGCAGTAGTTTGTTCTTTGGTCTCGAAGAATAGCCACACTTTCAAATGTTGCACCGGCATCAGTAGCAGCAGCAGCAATAGCAGGGGTTCGGCAAGTTGCATGCTCCTGCCCCCCTTTGCCCGCTCTATGATCAAAACATGACTTTTGTGATGTATTGTCTCTGAAAGTGATTCCTCAGTCTCCTTCACGTCAACACCACCCTGTACGCTATTGCAATACCCCGACCTTCCCCCCCGCCTGTCGACCTCCGACACCTCACCGCAACGTGTCAAGCTTGCGAATTCGAGCCTCCCCCCTCCCTCAACACCCGCGTGTTTCTAGCAATCGCCACCCTCCTCGCAGCCTCTGCCCCTGCCCCCGCCCCCCTACGCACGAAAACCATAAACGTTGCGTTTTTTTTTTTTTTCGCAGCAACATGCCGAGCTACCAGTTCGAGATCGGATCCGTGGACACGTTCGAGCGCAAGCTGGAGGAGAGCCAGCGGCAGATGGGCATTAGCCCGAGAGACTTCATCCCCGTGCAGTACGTCACGGAGAGCAACCGCTCGCAGGGCCCCATCAGGGCTCTAACCGGGTGAGATACGTGTGCACACCAAGAATATATGCCCCACGTTCAGTAGTTACACCAGGTTCCGCCCCTCCCCCCCCCCCCCCTCCCCCCCCCCCGCCCGCCCCTCTTGTTTGGGCTGAACAGTTTATTGTTGTTGCGGTTAGGGGTCTGGGCGCTTTGGCGGGGATTGCAGTTTTGGAATGGAGATTCCCCTTGATATTGTGTTGTTCCGTCCCAGTTCAGTGGTCGCCGCTTGGCGGCAAGCAGCCGTTGTCGGGGCGGAGGAGGGGCGTCGCGAAGGCCGCAAAGGGGGCGGGTGAAGGGGCGTGACTCATGAAGGGGAAGAGGCATGTTTTGTAAGGGGGGCGCGGGGGGGGTGGGCATGGCAGATGACGGTGAGAAGAGACGCCCCGATGGAGGGCTGGTGTGGTTTTGACGTTGCACATGACGTAATGTGTGGAGTGCGTGGTGCGTGGCTTGTCTCGAGTCTCTGGGCGCCGTGCAGGATGATCACCCCCGAACCGCGCGTTTTTTTTTTTTAGAGTTATCCCGGGGAGGCAGCGATAGCATCCTACAGTACCAGCTCCTGCTGTACGTGGTTTACGAGCGCAGGCCGCCGGTGAAGCGGCGCAACCAAGGACACGGGTTGCGTGTCGGCGCGTCAACGGTGATGAACGGGATCATGCATACGTCATCATCCTCCGAACGCGCACTTGGATTTTTTTTTCATTTCATTCGTTGCGACCCTAACGGATCAATCGCTTGCTGTGCCCTCTCTCTGCCCCGGTGTGGCCCTAACAAATCGATCGCTTCCCTCTCTCTGCCCTGTGTGGCCCAAGCAAATCAATCGCTTGCTGTGCTTGTTTTGTTTTTTTCTGCCTGTGCCCTCTCTCTCTCTCCCCTGTGTGGCCCTAACAGATCAATCGCTTGCTGTGTTTGCCTTCTTTTTTCGTTTTTTTTTTGTGTGGGTGATGAAGGCTTTTGCCAACGCTGCTGGTGGTGGGTACCCTGGTGTACCTAAGCAGAGGGAGCAGGGGAGGGGCGGGCGGCGGCCCCGGTGGCATCGGGAGGGTCTTCAAGATGATGGACTCTACGGCGACCAGGGTGAGAAAGAGAGCGAGTAAATAGCGGCGGCAAGACTTCAGCCGAACAACGGTACTCGTTGTATCGATTCGATTCTGCGGGTCCATTGGAACAGTCGAAGGGGATGAGTTGAAGGGCGAAAAGTGAATGGGAAAAAAAAAGCCGGCTGGATCCTGTAGTTTTTGTGAGTCTGTTTATGGCTTTCACTATGTACTCTTATTTTTCTTCTTTTGTCCGTGCCTTGCGGGTGAAGCCCCCCGACAGCAAGCGCCCATCAATGGCGTCGAACACCCCTCTTCGTTTTTTTCTTGTTCGTGCCTTGGATCCCCTACCCCCCCCCCCCCCCC